GAATTTTATTTATTGTTTATGTACATACATACATAGCAAAGGACAACACATATATAAAAACAAGGTACAAAGGTCCCACATACCCCAACTGGAATTTCTTTCTGTGGGAATTCGTTCCTTTAGGCTTAATTAATTCTGTCTCCTGCAGTAATTCACCGAGGGAAGTCGAAACTATGGTTTTTTCTCCTCCTAATATTATCTTCTTAATATTTTGTTGCGGGAACCAAGAGAGTTATTCATGGGACCCGCTGGACTTCGGTGGTGTTTTCATGGCTGTATCAACTGTAGGTAGATCCTGGTTTACAGGAGTTGCAGCAGTTTTGGGAGGTTGTAGTGGGCTTGTCCCATTAGAAAAGCCTGCCTGCCTGGCATGGAGATTGACTAAAGCCATGGCATGTAGAGGAGGCTCGCAGTCCAACAGTGGACTGTATTAAGTTCTTACATTAACATTTTTACTTGGCAGTAGATAGGTCTACAGAAAATTAATTATTAGGTAACCCATATCAACTATTTAATCAATCGAAGGTCGCGAAGCTATAAAGATAGACAAAAATTTCTTGATAAAAATATCTTTATCCCTGATAAAATTAATGTTATCGAATTATTTTTATTTAGTTAATTGTATATGTGTTAGTCATTAGGACATTACGGAGTTACGAAGTTATACAAAATGTTGAAGTTTACAGTTTTAGTTTTAGTGGTCCTATTCGCAAATGCCAAAGGTTAGTGTTTTGATTTGATCTTACATTATCAATAAACGGTGGAACAGGTTGTGTTAACAAAAAAATGATATTTTGAAGCCGGTAAATGAGCAGACGGATCACTTGATGGTAAGCAATCGGCGTCGCCCAGGTGTCCCTGGGCAAGTGAACACCAGAGACGTTACAAGTGCGTCTGCATTTTGGGAATTACGATTTTGAGGATTGTTGGGAATTCAGGGATTGGGGAGATGGGGGGAGGGCGACGGGTGCTTAATTGTTCCTCCGGTCACCTCACTCACACGACGAAACACAACGCAAGCGTTGGTTCACGTCAGTTTTCTATCAGGCCTGGATATTACTCCGGGCGAGCCGGCCCATTCGTGCCGAAGCATGGCTCTCCACACTTAAAGCAGTTGGGAGCCTTTGTTTATTAAGTGACCTATTATTTATATGAGATATTGGGTATATATGTTGGTGCAGAACCTGCGTAATATGTCGAGGGTTCGACTGCTGGACAGAGCATTGTATGATTATTCTGGGCCCAGAATATATAAAGCCTGGGTCTATTAACGTATCCAAGACATAGGACAGTTTGATGTACTTAGCTATTCTATAATACATAGTAGTGGTAATGGCTGGTGGTTCTAGCTACCTATATAGATATTGTGACCTAATACATTACGTGTCTAACAGCAATAAAAGGCAGGAAATCATTACCTATAACTATAACTCATTGTAGCGAAGTGGTATCAAGTACATTTTAAAACACTAAAAGTAAAAACATACAATGTAGTAAATACGACGACCGATAACTTCCTAAGAATGAATCAATCCCTATATTTTTTTTTTAAATTCATTTCCATGCGACTGCGATACAATCCGCGCTGTCTATGCACACACACGAGAAGAGTTATTTACAAGATCGTACTGGAAAACATGAAGACATCTACAAACGAACAAAGGTCGCCGACATAGCCCAGCGGATTAGCAAGTTGAAGTGACAGTGGGCAGGGCACATAGCGCGGAGAACTGACGGCCGCTGGGGCAGAAAGGTTCTCGAGTGGAGGCCACGTACCGGCAAGCGCAGCGTAGGACGTCCACCTGCAAGGTGGACAGACGACCTCATTAAGGTCGCAGGGAGCCGCTGGATGCAGGTCGCTTCCAACCGGCCTATATAGAAGTAATTGGGGGACGCTTTTGTTCCACAGTGGACGTCCTATGGCTGATATGATGACGATGGTGATGACTGGGGTCGTGGATAGATTGCTACCTCCTACATCACCGAATGCGGAGTCATCTGATCAGTTACAAGTTCGTTCCCGGCTTTTAGGTTTCTCAAACAACACTGTTGCCTGAATCTCTTAAATGTTACTGTCCTTACACTCTCGGGAAGCGTAGGAGTGATGACAAATATGTTCTTATCTGCTGTAGACACACCACAATATGTTATTTTATCTTTGTATCTTTCCAGGGTCTGTCCAAAGGATAGCCGGTGGTAACCCTACTTACATTAATGAGTATCCGTTCGTGGCTGCACTATTGACGAATGGTGGACAAGGAACCTCTTATACTCAGGCGTGTGCGGGTTCCATCCTCACGAACCGCGCCATCTTGTCTGCAGCCTCATGCTTTTATACTAATGCAGTGTAAGTAGTAATATTATTTCCGCTAAATATATTATATTTGGCAGATACTGCAGCTAGCTGATAGCTCATATAATTTCCCTGATAGATGGCAAATGGCGACTATTTTTTCTTCTTGATGGGCCGATGTTTGACCACTGTCTCGCCTGGTGGTAAGCGATGATACGGTCTACCATGGAACACGTCGTCCCATAAGGAACTTATTCATCCGGGCTTTGAAGACACCAAGTTTATACAGACTCTGGCAAAGAATTCCACTTCTTAGCACTACGCACAAGGAAGCTTGATGCGAAGTGCTTCTTGTGGGTGTGATATCTACCATGAATCGGTTATTGTCTATCTGTGGTATTATCCAGTCATTATGAAATAGGCCCTAAATCTCTAATGTAAAACTAATCTCCAACCAATTTTTGGAGAGCTACAGTCGTTGAACAAGCAGACTTAAAGCTATTTTAGTGCCATCTAGTGCACAGGATAACAAGCCTCCAATCAAATAGTATCTACTTGAATATTAGAGATATTCTCTCACTGTCGTATAAATGGATTTCTAGACAATACAGTGCTGTTCAGTCATTTGTAGGTCAAGAGACCATTGCGTCGTGACGGGCTAGACAAAGAGCTCGCAGCACTTTTGTCCTCAACATCTATTGTGTCATGAATATGAAATAACGTTTTCAGTTTTATGACATACATTGTTGAATGGGTTGAATTGATGGGTTTGAAGAACAAAAGAATTTAATTACGTAATGTAATTCTTGTTTAAGTACTTTATAATCTTAAACCTCTCTTAAAAGAGGTTTTTGTTCATCAGACGACGTCATTCGTTTGTAAGACCTAAGACACGTAGTATTTATTTCAGGGTGAATCAACCTTCGTGGTGGAGAGCTAGAGTAGGATCGACGAGGGCTAACAGTGAAGGAACGGTCTACATGATCAACCTGATCACCGTGCATGATAACTATGTAACTGCCACTCAGGTCAACGACCTGGCTATATTAAGGTCCGTTCTTCCTATAGCATTCAATGCAAATGTGGCCCCTGCTAGAATAGCAGGTATAGCTTACCCGTATGGCGTCAACCAAATGGTCTGGGCCCTCGGATGGGGCGCTACCTCTGTGAGTACATGATATATTTTTCGTTAACTGACTTTTTTTTCATATGGATTATCACATATTTTACGGGAGTAACAGTGAATTGTCAGGGTATATGTATACAGCATATTTGACAATGAATATGATGAAAAGCAGGTGCGCAACAAGAATTTAGTTATTTTGCTTGAACAACATTTGCAAATTAAACCTTTATTTCGTCAGAAATTTCTAGTCGATCTATTTCACCTACTTAATAGTAATCCGTCTTAAGCAGCTCGATAAAATTAGTATTCTACATCTACACTAATAGCATAAAGAGGAAAGATTTGTTTTTTTGCTTGAATTGAATTGGCTCCGAAACTTTTGAACCGATTTGAAAATTTCTTTTACCGTTGGAATCCTACATTATCGATGATGAACGTAGGTTATCAATCAATACATAGTATAAAACAAAGTCGCTTTCGCTGTATGTCCGTATGTATGCTTAGATCTTTAAAACTACGCAACGGATTTTGATGCCGTTTTTTTTAATGGATAGAGTGATTCTTAAGGAAGGTTTGTATGTATAATACATGCATATTGCACCCGTGCGAAGCCGGGGCGGGTCACTAGTATTAAATATGATAAAAAAGAGAACCGTGTGAAAATTTCGATAATGTAACCCAATGTGTGAAAAAACTACCAAAAAACTCGTCATTTATATAATGGGAACAATCAAGCAATAAGAGGACAGACAATTTTATTGTTTATCGATTAAAACGGTAACCATTTGTTATAATTGAACTAAATAATTATATTTTCGATCTTCTGTCTCCAGAGCACATCCCCAACGCTATCACAAGAGCTGCATGTGGTCCAGATGTGGTTGATCAATCTGCAGACGTGTCAGAACAACTACGCATCTACTGCATTCATTGTCAATGACAATATGGTGTGCGCTGGTCTTCCAGATGTGGGCGTCGTAGGACAGTGTACGGTATGTAGACAATTCACAGACTTAATAAACCTTTCGTGATGCTGTAATTTTTGTAATTCGCATGCCTCAAGGCGTAATATGGTCGGAACTGTATCTACTTATCTGCTAATACCTTAATTTACCCATATTATCAAATAAATGATTTGATTTGATTTAAAAAGGAAAGGTTTCTTGAAAAGCAAGCATTTGAACTGAACATCGTAAGTAAATGATGCCTCTAAGGTTGCTGGCGATCTAATAGATTGTTTGTGGACTAGGCCGATAAATATGCAGATGGATCACCTGATGGTAATTAAGTTTTGATATCGATGGACGGACACCCCACAACACCAGAGGATACACATAGCACAAGTAACGAAATTTAAGAAAGTTTTCGGGTTCAATACGGCAGATGTATACCAGTCAACATTTTAAGTGCTCCTCGGTCGTGAAAAGGAATTTTTATGATAACCCTCAATGTCAGAGGGCACTTGTATTTTCGACAAAGGCAAATAATACAAAATATTTACTAGAATTAAACCTATGACCAGATGCCCAGATGCCGACTGCGGTAGTAATGTAATTGATAGATAAATTTTGATATCCAAGACTCAAAGTCAAGATTTTATTCCTGATTATATTTCATTACAGGGTGATGCCGGTGGTCCACTGTTGGACTCCGAAGGTGCCGTGATCGGTGTGTTCTCTCGTTCACAAGGCTGTGGTGACGCTGCCTACCCGAGCATCAACACACGAGTCGCGTCTTTCACTAGGTGGATTGTCAACACTGCGCTAGCTCAATAAACTATATCTAAAAGAAATTGGAAATATAAAAAGTTCTATCTAGAATTTGACACAAAAACGTTGTGTAGATGCATTTCGCACATTTTCCTGTTCCAAAGCCTTACTTCTCTTTCCTCTGTCTTCAACATCTGCAACTGAAGAAGAAGGTGTTTCGAAAACTACATTCTTAGCTAACTGACTCTTGCAAATCTTTCATTTTGTCAAACAGATGTCATTCAGTTTTAATTCCTTACAATAAAATATATTAAGCTCCTAAACTATGAAATATTTTAATTTGGGCACCACAAAAATACTCTGAATGAAACGGAATCCAATATTCTCAACAAAAATCTCTCCCCTGGGCCTGGGGAACGCTCGCCGAAATCCCAACTTTTGGCAGATGTTGGAAGATTATGTCACTGATTTTTTTTATGGGACAAGCACGTCACAACCTCCCAAAAACGCTGCAACACCTATAAGCTAGGTTCTACAGTAGATACAACGGCGAAGACATAAATAGGTATAACTGTCTTGGTCACTGATATTTTAAAAGATGCAACTGCTTGTACTAATGCAGGATACAAATTAACTGAAGGTTTTGATAGGACAAAAAGACTTTAAACTGGGAGAAGCCAACTTGCCAAGCACCACGGATCTTTGATTGAAATGGGCCTGATGTGTGAGCTGTTATCTTTGTTTCCAATAATAAGTAGTAAGTATCTATCGCAAAAACAGCTAGGTAATAGCACGGAAACTTGTCTAGATTACATAAAGTCCGTATAATTTATGTCCAAATACTCAAACGCACTTTAAGTCGCGCTTAAGACGCGCGCGCTACAAATTCTTTGCAAAATGACAGAGATGGCACGATATTTATGTATAACTTAAATTGCCTTTCAGTATTCGGGCGTTAGGTACCTACCTAATGCACTACACTTAATGTAACAATTAAATTGTCTAGACATTATGATCATAAAAGTATCTACTTATCGACTCTACATAAGTGCATACCCTGAAACAGTTTGTTTGTTTTTGAAATTTATGGGCTCGCACACAAAACTGCGAATGCGAATTCGCAACGCAAAAAATTGCGATGCGAATTGCTGCGATACGATTTCGTGCGACAAGGCGTCTCCCAGGGTGACCATTCCTTCGACGACCGCCAGCCGTACTAAACGTATTTTACATTGAAAACTAGGTCGGGACATGGATCGTATTTAATACTTTAACTACCAACTTTAAAACGATGAAAGTCAAACCTCCACTAGCATCAGGCACCGGTGACTGACATGGCAGTCTAAGGGTTAAAGAAGTGTGCACTTCTGTTATTGTTTAGGAGATACAGGCAAAGAAACAAAGAAGATAAGAATTTGATGCGCGATGCGAATCAATTCGCAAGTTCTTGCGATGCGTAGAGGGAGCTCGCACATTTTCGCGGCGCGACGTCGCATCGCAGTTTTGTGTACGAGCCCAAAAAGGTTATGTATGCTGTATCACGCTACGACCTATACACATGGAGTTGCGGGTGAATCCACGAGGGAGTAACTAGTACCTTATAATCCTAGAAATAATCTTATCAGTACATAGTATAAAACAAAGTCGCTATACGCCGTCTGTCTGTCCCTATATATGCTTAGATCTTTAAAACTACACAACGGATTTTGATGAGATTTTTTTAATAGATAAAGTGATTCTTAAGGAACGTGTATATGTATAATTCATGCATATTGCACCCGTGCGAAGCCGGGCCGGGTCGTTAGTACTATTATATAAAACTGAAGAGTTTGTTTGTATGTTTGTTTATTTGTTTGAACGCGCTAAGATACTAAACTACTGGTTAGATTAGAAAAATTCTTTTTGTGTCAGATATGTCGGAATACTAAAACGCTACTCAATTTTAAGTCATGCTTAAGTATAGTTCTATCTCTACAAATTCTTTGTAAAATGACAGAGATGGCACGATAATTGAGCACGACTTAAAATTGAGTAACGTTTCAGTATTCCGGCCAATAGTCCATTTATTGAGGAAGGCTACAAGCTATAAAACATCACGCTACGATCTCAAAAGGCGCCGAGTAGAGAAGGAGAAGAGAAGAGGTGAAACTGTGTGGTACTTCCACAAGTGCACATACATAGAAAATGTAACACCCACATTTCACCAATTATGCTATGCGTCCTGTTTAGGCGAACTTGTTGCCATATGACGGCGACAATTTTAGACTGTGCACTACTAACTATCATGCGCACTATTAGAACTTATGTGCGACTTAAGAATCGAACGCCAGACACGTTGCTAAGCAGTAGCGTTTGCGATCACTCTGCAGGGCAACGGCCTCCCTACCCTCCTTCTAGACCTCTCTATGTAAAGCTTCTATAATCTACTCCATAAATTATACATACTGTATAACTTATAAATGAACAAAAAAAAACAAGGATGAAGTGCCTATTATGTACATCTATCTTTATATGTAGGTACAGTGAAATACCATATCAGTGGAATAGTAATGCGCCGGCGCCGACTATCAGTGACTGTTGGCTGCGCGTAACATGAACGCGCTTTTACCCAAACGAAGGGTAATTGTGATCATTGTTTTAGTGACGTTTACCCTCTCATATATCCACTGTCTCACAATCAACAAAATTAAAGATGAAAATATACATGGTACGTACAATTTTATCGATTACCTACCGTCAGGCTCGAACGGTGCAGTTGATTAATCGGAAAAAGTAATTCAGTAACTTCATGAAAAGAATTCGCGATTATAAATATGTGTTTTAATTTTTTTTGTGAATTAGATAAACTGATAAATACTTATACATATATTTTAATTTAATTAATTAGTCGTTTTGTGTTTTCGGTTAATGAGGATTATTTGTGAAATATGTTTAGGTTCATATTACGATATTTTGCAATATAAACTCTTGTTGACATTGCCATTTGAGGTACCTAACGAACAGTAAAACTGTACTGGAAACCAGTACAATTCCAGTAACGTTGAAGTTGAAACATAAGAACTAAATATAATATAAAAAAAATTCAAATCAGATTCTTTGAAAACGCTGAAACGCTAGAACAAACGAATAAGTCTGCTATCTTTTAAAAAACGACTGATACCAAAAACAAATATGAGATAGTATAACAGTAAATAGGTCGAATCAATAAAGTAACTAAATAGGTATTGAAGAGTACTTACGAAATTTAGATCGTGAACAGTACATGAGAGTCCACGGGGTATAGGCCTTCTCGTTTGTCATAATCAGGTGTGGTGAAGATCGCAGGTGGAAAGGATCAGGGTTTATTAGAGAGCGCTGCTACCCAATCCCTGTTGATTACGTAGGTATGTAATCAACAGGGATTTGTAACCTTTAAATTTCGGCTACCACCGGACCTAGTCTCAGGGCAGGACAAGAAACTCTTAAATAAACTTTATATTAGATAATCCCAGGGCGCCATGATTCTCTTCGTGGGGTATAAATAAATTCAAATAACACAAAGCTATACAGTATAAATTTACCAAAATATATTTAATTTAACACACACAATTAACCCATGTAATCAAATTACCAATTAATCCAAAGAACGGCACAAGTAATATACATACAGACGATGATCAGCTGATCATCAAATCATGCACCTTTAAATATATAATTATTACAAGTTACCCACTTATTTTCGTTAATTTTAATACAACTTTATCTGGAAGGAAGTGGGTAATTACACATATATAACAAAAATTCCAAATATACATGAATGGCAATATTTAACTATAAATATTTGGATTAAATACAGCAAAAACAGCTAATCTGTAACAAACATATCACCTTCGCAGGGTGATTGTCAATACCCTTATAAGTACATACAGTTAATAAACTATGTTACTTAACTTCTGAGACAGATATCCGGCGTGCCAGCACTACAACAGAGGATCTGGTGCACGACTGTAAGGATCTGCCTTCATCCGGTGACCTCGTATAAATCATGAGCATCTGAAGCCGTACCACGATGCTCCAGCTCGACTTCACGGGCAAAACGACAAATCAATTGATTGTCTACAATGGGGTAGACATGGATAAACTTTCCGCTGATACAAGGAGTTTTCTCCTGATATAAAGGACTTTCTCCTGATATAAAGAATTTTCTCCTGATATAAAGGATTTTCTCCAGATATAAAGAATTTTCTCCGTAGGACTGATAATTTCTACGAGAGGACAAACATCTGTTACACGTTGCATGGCAACCGGCTGCCGTGTAACTTGTTGGGACTTTGTGTTCCGGAAATTGTTGTTTTGGGTCGGGATGTCAAGTGTGTGTGAACTTTTATGCTTGTAAATGCACCCACGATGCAGGAATGAGGCCACGTTGAAAAAAAATAAAAGGGCCCCGAATTATTGCGTGCAAGGGCTCCAGCGTAGTCTACGACGATCCTGGAGGTCCTCAGCTTAGTCGGCTCTTATCCAACACCGCTTAACACCCACAGGAAGGTAGAGACAAATGTACTTCACCCCGCCACCACACAGAAACACAGTTCACAACTTCACAATTAGATTCATAGTTTGTAGAACGCGAAGCAAATCGTGTAAAGTGATTGGAAGTTAGTAGGTTCATTAAAAAGACGTGACTGATAACGACTAGTTTAACTCCTAAATACACTGTAACTAGACTATGTAAGTAAACTTAGTTTATTTTAGATGTAATACTAATGGTAAGTACTTGGTAGACAAAAATATGTTAATGTCTCCCGCGGCTTGGGATCGTGTTGGATGAAAAATATCCTCTGCTATTAATCTAGGTCATGGTAGTAGGAAGTATATCGTTCCCGTGCCCATGTGAGAGACGGGTCGACGAAGTGGTTTTTAGTCATCAAGAGTCTGACAGTCCCCTTCGAGGTGCCCTGACAAGGGGTTCTATAAGGATTGGGGTAAAAAAAAAATGGTTTACTGATGTCCTTTTGAAAAGACAATACAATGTCTCATATCGTAGAGGGACAAATAGAAAAGAGACTGAAGAAAGGGAATAAGCTATTAGCCAGCTTCCACGGATGATATGACTGGCTTGCGAAATATTGCGCGCATGTGTAGGTACCTGAGTAGAGATGCTACTGCAACTTTCAATTCTATTCCATCAACAGCTTATAAATGCCCACTGCTGAGCAAAGCCTCTTCTCACACGGAGAAGGTTAGAGCGTTAATCACCACGCTTGCTCAATGCGGGTTGGCGATTTCAAACATATAATTAGAAATTATAAGTCCAGGTTTCCTCACGATGTTTTTCCTTCACCGTTTGTCAGTGGTGTCTAAATAATCTTAGAAAGTACATATAACTCGGAAAAAGTCACATTGGTACTTGCCGTTGGTAGGTTTCGAACCCGCACCCTCATGCATGAGAAGTGGGCGTCTTAAACCTCCGGGCCAATTCTATTGCAAATATCTTACAAATGCTAAAATTAGAGTTTGTGTGTATGTTATGTTTGTTACTCAATACTGTCAAAATGGCTGTAACCATCGGTATGAAATTTGGAATAGGTATAGATTATGAAAAATCACATAGGGTACATTGTATCCAACTGGAACGTGGGCAAAGCCGCGAGCAGAAGCTAGTCTACAATAAAGCTGAAAGCCAATTACAGAAATCTGACAAATTGGGGTAAGCTTTTACGAAGATATGGGCCTACCCCAATTTGCTCAACTTGAGGCCGATATTCATAGGTATGTTGAAATAGCTTGTCCTTTTTTTAGGTCTACGAGCTTTAGTTTTACATTGATACCAATTGGTTTGAATAAACCAAACTTGTTCAGATATTTGTCAGGAATTGCCAATTACACAAAAGAGAAATAAAAACAAACTTGGTGATAAAAAATTATTATTATTTCTCCTTTAATTAAAACCTTATCAATTAATAATTCTACGTTAATAAAATTTTCTTGTCGGAACCACTCTTTATGTGATTTACAGATTGTTGTTCCGGGTCTGGGTGTCATGTTAATGTGAACTTGTATGTTTGTAAATGCACCCACGTCACAGGAGAAAATCCTAGTGTGGGAAATGATTTTTCCAGAAAAAAAAAACAAAAAATCTTCGGCTACGACGGCCACCTCGACGCTGTAATGGCTGTAAGCTTGATTCTCCGTCACGTAACAGAGGAAGAAGAAATTGCAGGACTTTAACGTAATAGCTCACCAGAATCAGAGGAGGACATGTCCTTGACTGAAATAAACACCTGTAACTAACTGTTACAATAAAAACTCACTGACTTTATTTTAGGTCATAGTAATTTATCGCTTTTTACGAAACTAAAATGAGTTTTCTATGAAACAAATGTGTTGGAACAACATATATTCCGCAACAGTCTTCAATATATTTAATACCATGTTATTATCTTTATAATCACCGTAAAATTATTATAAAGATACGAATATATTAAAAATTATTATAATTTATGCTTACACAAAAAAAAAAACGATTCTTGGTTCAAAAACGTCAAGTTTCACATAAGATGCTAAAATTAAAGAATAAAGATGCTACCAACGACAGTCCGAGGTTATAAGTTTTCGATGGCTCATTCTATTGGCGAGATTATTTAGAAGAATGACTCTTTTTATTTAAATATAATATTTTTAGGTCGTTGGGTCGTAATATAAAGATTTGAGAAACTGTCTTGGGCCGGAATGCAAAAATGATTTGGTTATACCTAGGTAACATTGAGTCATTGGCCTTGGGCCAATATCAAGGACGTTGAAAAAAAAAGAACGGACGTAATGTCACTTAAAAAAGATTGAAGCACCAAAATGTCAGTGGTGTATTTATGAGTGCGTGTACTTGCAACACCGAACGGTTGAAATGTAACGACGGGCCATGTCACGCGACAGATGTCCTTCGTGTCAATGTGTGTGTAAGTCTATAGTAGCTAGGTGTCACAGTCGTTGTTTCAAAAGACTATTGTGCGCTTTTTTTCAACGTCCTTGAGTCTTACGAGAACAAGCAAGCGTTTGTACATTTAGCGGTATCTTTATCTAAAGATAAAAAATCTCTGTTATGAAATCCAAATACAAACATACCTACATTATATACGTAGAAATCAGTGTTCTCGGATTTAAAGCAGGACATAGTGTTCGCTGATAACGAAAATGTGGCAATTAAAAACTGAGTTAAGAATGAAATAAGACTATATGCAACAGTAGCTTCTGCTAACGGCTTCGCCCGCGTCCCCAGGAGTAAAAAGTAGCTTTTGCCTTTCTCAACTGTAGGCAGTTACAGCGTACTTAATGCCACTGTACAATGTAACACCCACTTTTCACTATTTATGTTATGAGTCCCATCCCATGTAATAGAGGGTGAGTCCATTGCCATATACCGAGCACATTTCCAGACTCCGTGCTGCTACTACGATTTTTAAAAACCCAGTAATACTTTGCCCGACCCGGGAATCGAACCCGAGACCCCTTGCCCGGCAGTCGCACTTGCGACCACTCGGCCAACGAGGCAGTCACACATTTTTTCTTTTGGTATAATATCTTCTGATTTCTTTGCGGGATCCAAGACAGTTTATTCATATCCCTGGAACCATAGGCAGCAGTAGACTGCAACGAGCCGTTGAAATATCGACGGCAATAGGCGTGTCGACAGGGTAAAAAAATCAAAAAAGTAATTAGTCCGTCATTAAGATCGCACGAAAATATCAGACACGTATTTTTTGTTTTATCAAATTAACAGAAGAATACGTAGTTATTCCGCATTAAAGTTAGGGAGTGGGGGGTGTTGACGTCACACTTACGGAGAAATCGTACCTAAGTGTGACGTCACGCGTCATTTTAACTAAAAATATCTACATGTTTTTTGGATACGAGAAAAAAGAAAAAATACGTATCGAAGATTTTTAAAATATCTAAAAGACGGACAAAAAATTAAAAAATAGTCGCCATGCCTATTGTGATGGAATTTATGCTGTCATAAATATGACATCATAAATTTATAATATTATGAGAGCAAAACCTCTTAACAGCCTAACTAATCATTGAAAAATTATCTTCCACAGCCAAAACAAAGGTGCAGTTGACATCACTAAACATCAATGCTTTTTTAAACGACGTAATACGAATATCAGCACCGGTCATCAATGAAGAAGCGTTGTACTACCTTCACAAACCGAACGGAGACGCTATGAAACTTGACATCAAATCTCCAAAATTACGAGACATGAAATTGGAAAGAGATGTCCATCCGATTATAGTACGTTATGTCAATGATATAAAGCCTATAATCACTCAGAATGATAATTACGATATTTTTGCGGTGTACTCTAAGGTGCCGCCTACGGATTTGTTCGGTAAGAAGGCAGCTGAGTTGGAATCTAATGAGTTCATGATTGGTCCCTTGTGTGCTGAGGATCATGGGAACTGGGTCCTTAGTGTGTATACTAAAGATTTGAATGGGGAGTGGGTAGAGATGTTCCAAGTTATCAGCATTACAATCACAGGTGAGTTGACAGATTTCTTTGTTATTTAAAAAATGGCTACACAAAAACCAAATTAAGTTACAGTTACGATTTCAAAATTAAATGAAATCGAAGTAAGGCCTTATTTAATTAAAATAATATGTAGCTATCCGCTCTATTCAAATATCAGAATTCTTCAACATTAGCCAAGCCGTGAAGATAGAAAAACATCACAAACAAACTCTATGTTCTTTTTCTATCATATTTATCTACATTACTTTTTGCAAAAACCGACTAAAGTTAAAATAAATATGTAAACAATAAACACAATTTCTGTTTCAGAGTACGTGCCACTAATTCCCCCCAAATCTTACTTAAATATAGGTGACACTTTAAACCTAAGTATAGCATACCCAATACCATCTTTAAAAACTTGCGAGCTAGTCGTACCTCGGTCCACATTTGACCGATTTTATAACAGAAATAATATAGAATTAAATAATTGTGGTTTTTCCGTACCTAACCTAACAACTTACGATGCTGGTACTTGGAGAATTTTTGCAGTTGGCAACATTGTATACGAAGGGGAAGCTAGGTTGGAGATAAATAAAGAGAATGTTACATTCACGTAGGGAATTGTGGGCTTTGTTATTTTTGTAAATACAATTTGTTTTTAATATATCGTTTCTTGTTTGTTTTTTTTCTGGCTTTGAATTTCGTTATAAAAGTAAAAAGGTTACAACAGTGTACATACTTATTGGATCTTTGTATTTGGGTAAGGAGAATGAATGAGTTGACTCTTACTGTATGTGATAGGACTAGCCGGACTTAAATCAACACTAGCGCCATCTAGCAAACACGAAAATGGAACACAGAGATTGAATACTCTGTTCTCAGAACGTGAAAAAATTACCATCTTTAGTAGGTCCACTCAGAGGATCAAATCCAAAACTAAGTAGTCAATAGATGTATATTATTTATAAGTGTACTCGACCAACGACACAGCAGACTTTTAGAAGTAAAACAATAGCAATTTAGTTAAATAACTAAATATATTTACAACTTACTTAATCACAACTTTAAAGTATAAGTCACACAATATAGTTGTTTTATCAGAATTAACTAAACAATACATTCATTAAATGAGTTTTATAATAAAAGATGTTAACGGTACGATCAAAACGTAAACCGAGATTAACCTCTTGTCTGTCGATATATGTATAAGATGCAATAGAAAACACATTGTCTCGCGTAGATCTGGGTTCCGACACTTCACAGGTTAATGGTTCTATTATTTCAGTCAAATCGTAGTTACAGGAATTTCTTTCTTACTGTTGTAACAATACGGGTCAATTTCCTTACTGTACTGTTTCGCGCGTTCATCTAATTAATTATGATAGAGGGCAGGCAGATCACCCGATAGTAAGCGATCAGCGCCGCCCATGGACTCCCGCAACACCAGATGAGTCACAGGTGCGTTGCTAGCCTTGTCTTTTTCTTCGGTCATTGTCCATTACTCGCTGCCACTTCCACTGCCAGAGCCGCTGGCGCTGCTGGTCCTTCGAGGAGTGTTCTGGTCTGCATGGTCGCTGCCTTCATCATCAGAGTCCTTCAGTGCCTTGGCGCGGTCCAGACGACGAGCTCGACGCGTCTCCACGTCAGAACCGTCTGATTCTGATGAGTATATCGCCGCGCCTGCTGAAGCTGTGAAAAATAGGTAAAGAATTAGTTGATTTTATTTAGGATTTGTCTGTCTAGACTGTCTAGGTTCTAGCATGTGGTAGCTACCTCTTAAAATAAGATAGGATTAGATATTATGATTACATTACATGATTATGTTGTAATGACACACCTTTTAATCAAAGAAGGGTAAGTACATCCTACTCTTAATACTTTAATAGGTGTGCGGTATAAGTGGAGACTAAAAGGAAAAATCCCACCAAATAGAATACTATACTCAAACGCCAACAATTTTATGTCGCACTTTAGTATAGTTCTGTCACTACAATTTCTTTGTACGCTTACGGTGGCCACCAGAGGAGTTACGAGACCATTGCCGGCCTTTTAGATGTTACGTAGTTTAAAAATTATAATTACCTTTCTGTCCCTGTTTGTACTTGTTCTTGATGGCAGCGAGTGAAACGCCGCCCTCGTCCTCCGAGTCGTCCCTCTGCCCGCCGGCGGCGGCCCGGGCTCCGCCCCCGCGACGCTTCGGGCGCGTCGACGCACGAGAGCGCATCGCTGCACGAAGCTCCATCTCCTCTTTCTATAACATTCATACAGATAAATCATTACTTAGATAATGTTTAATACCTATATTATTGATTGACAGACGTAACCACGAATGATGACATCTTTTAACATTCAATTTTAGTTTCGATGAATTTTATATGAGATGGCAAGTTATTTCTTACAAATTAACTAGAAAAAAGTATTAAATGAGTCACAAATGTCACATTGTCAAAACAAATCATGAAATCATGCTCATTTTTTTTATATTTACTATATTGTTGAATAAACCGATTTTTGACTGATTAATTATCGCTATTATCAAAATCATGTGACGAATAAAAACATTCCAAACTACATACCTTCAACTGATACTTCCTATCAGCATCAGGGTCAGCTCCAACTTGTGACAGAATCTTAATAGCAGACGTCTTGGTAGACCGGTCAGCGAGGGACAGAGTCATCTTCCTGTGAGTGAAGGACTCCGTGGAGTGTGGCCTGAAGGACAACTTCGTACGGAACACTGCTTGTCCTTGTAAACCTGTACCTTGGCGGACGAATAGATGGTTGTGGTCGCCCTGCAACGAACATAGTTTTTAATTAATAGTGGTGTTATCAATGGGGTAAAAACAAAGAGTATTTCACGCTACGCTGCTCACCAATATAAGCCCCGATTTAACTTGAAAGTAGTAGGGCCTTTCTCGAAATTCGAATAGTTCACATAAATAATACATATTTCAATTACCATTAGAGTAAAACACGACAAAGTATTATAGCCTTTTCAGTATAAAATAAAAATGGTTTATGAACATGTTTTAATTTTTTTATGAATTTAACTGCACGGTTGGTGCGGTGGCTGGGCAACCGGCTGCCGTGCAACGGGTCGCGGGTTCGATTCCCGCACGGGACAACACTTTGTGTGACCAACAAATTATTGTTCCGGGTCTGGGTGTCATGTGTATGTGAACTTGTATGTTTGTAAACGCACCCACGACACAGGAGGTAATCCTAGTGTGGAGCAAAGTTTTTTTAATTAAAAAAAAAATCAAACTTGATTTTATCAGGGTAGGTGCGTTCCTCTTTGTGACAGTTGTAAGAAGAATCAGAAATTCAATCCTTAACCCACTATACAAAGATATAGAACATACATTAGGAAGGTACTTACATGTAGAGGTTGTTTATACACGTCGAATATTTCAGACCCCAGATGTAGTGACATGCTACCGTCGGACCATTTCACCATGCGCGCATTGGACTCCTTCACCGCGTTCCCTTCCTTGTCGAATACCGTGCGCCAACGCATTGTGTTCTCCACTTTCAATTTTAATCTGAAAAAATATAATGCGTTAGCCTGTTATCTTCAAGTGAGTGTCGCAAAAGACGGCTAAGGTGCTACACAGTAAAGTCTTCGCAAAGTAAAGTTGCTTGTCTACATGTAGAATAAAAAATGGTTGCCTGTAAAGTCGTTTTTACGGGCGAAGATTTTACGTGACAACGTCTTTTTCTCGGTAGAATATTTATTGATATGAATATAATTAAATTGCACAATAGGAACAAGGAATTGAATGAACTAGTGCTGCGCGCGCGGCAGACCGATCATAGTTGAGTGGGAGAGAGACACAAGACATTCGGCGGGCCTCTCTCTCGTTCGGTGACTCATCGTAACGTTACCGAGCGTTACACTTTTTCATAAGTGACTCCCAGCCGCAACCTAATTTAAGACGTTGTCACGTCAAAAACTAAATTATATGGGATTGGCATAAATTTTGACACTTGTCAGTGTCATCCCCATACATTTAGTTTTCTACACTCTCTGTAGACAAGCGCTAAAGTGGCGTTTGGCTAAAAGCACAGACAAGACAGCAGTGTTCTCTTACAAAAATCTGCTGAACTTGGACATTATGGCAACCGTGGCTACAGCCAGTATTATTAAACGACATGACATAGTAACGTCACGCCATAAAAGATTTCATACACTTTTTCATGTAAGAACTTGTCATCAGGCCAAACTCCTTATCTATTTTAGTACGCCCCCTGCCCCCCCTCATCTATCATTCTAAGATTAAGTGCATCAAATTATCTCCACCTGGCACGACCTTCCTCATCAAGGGTTTCCTCCTCATCAATTTCATCTTCATATGTATTAGGATCATAAGGTCTAGTTTCCACCGACAAGAAGTTAGGCAGCTTCACGAAGTGCAGCTCCTTGCCCAACTCAGTCCATATCTTGGGCATGTCCACATCGATCCTGGTCTCGGGAATCTCAACTTCCTCCTCTTCCTCTGGTTTTTCACGAGGTTCCTGCTGTGGAAAATAAGTGGTGCATTCTAAATGTTTGTTCATCTTGCGTTTTATGTATAGACTGATTGATTAGACTTTTGCAACTAGTTTAAATTATTGTTCTTATCGCTAAATAAGGACCGAAAGAAGGTATGACACTGGAAGAATATAAAGATAATTGGTACGTGTTATGACAAGTCGCTGCAAGAATACTATGATGTGATACCAACGAATGACCTTTAGCGAATGCAGCTAGTCTCTCAAAATAAATGCTGAAATTCAGTAGACTCCAAATATTTGTTTATTTCTACATTTTTATTAAAGCATTTTGCCTAGTGAATAAAAGCCAGATTACAAAAAAGAAAAATACATTACAATACCAAATACAAAACAAATTGGGATAAAACTACAGAAAAGACTCCTAGTTCTTCAAAGACCCTCATAAACTCTTGCAGTTCTTACCTCATCTCCACTAGCCCTGGCCTCGTCTCCCGATCGCCGTGCCTCCTGGGGGCTTCGGCTACGGCTGCGGCTCCTCGACCGGCTGCGAGACCGAGACTTCTCTGATGCTTTGTCAGCCCCGCCCTCATCTTCTGTACTTATGTCGGACGCGTCTCCGAATAGCGCGTCCGCAGTTACTGAAATAAAATAAATATGTTATTACGTCCGTTTATTTATCACACAAAAGTTTATAATAATAAATTGTATACCCTGAATTTAGTACAAGATGCCAGCATAACTGCTGACCGACTACTAAAGACAATATCAATTCTACATAATTATACTAATGTTATCTTATCTTATCTAAAATTTAATATAAACTTATGTAAAACTGTATTAACATTGTACATTTTGTATTTTTGTAAAAAGTAGTAGACTAATTTCAAAAAATATTTTGCTATAAGAAAGCTACATATATTCCAAATTTCGTTACATTTCAATACGATACATTCCAAAACAATTAAACAACAAGAGATCTAATCCAGTACAAGTTAACAGAGTATTTCCTTTGACTTAACGTGACTGGCTAGCCAATCATGGTTGCAACTATTCAACCAATGAAACTCGTTTATTTATAAATAATCTTTACAAAACATACCTCCATCTCCCTCTTCCTTCTTCCCCTCTTCATCATCATCAGAGTCCACAATTTTCTTGGACTTCTTCTTAGGTTTGTCACTGGTCTCTGAGCCACTGTCGGAACCTGCCTTCTTCCGTTTGGGAGTAGCTTTTGTACCGCCATCACTTTCCGAGTCGGAGAGCACTGCACGTTTCTTTTTCTCTCCTGGTATTATTAGAGAATTTACATAACATCAGCTTTTATGAACAAAAATGGTATGTTATGTCAGTTACAATACATTGGAACCCAAATAACGCTTTACACAGCCCGGTATCGAGTTAGAACTGCTGTGCTTGATAGTTGCTATTGCGATTTCTTGACACTAGGCCATTTAAGATACATTGTTAAAAATAATTTTATATAATACATAACATAACATCACGCTTTTTATCCCTGAAGGGGTAGGCAGAAGTGTACATGTACATTACGGCAGTTTATGCCACTACAATGTAACACCCACTTTTCACTATTTATGTTATGAGTCCCATGTAATAGGGGGTGAGCCTATTGCCAAATACCGAGCACAATTCCGAACTATGGCTACAACTGACATTTTTTTTAAACCCAGTAACTTTGCCCGCCCGGGAATCGAAGTCGAGACGATTGCCCGGCAGTCGCACTTGCGACCATTCGGTCAACGAAGCAATCTATATATATATTTTAGAGAGGTTAAATTTCTACATGTAACAAAAACAACTCACCAACATCAGCTTCAGAGCTTTTAGACCGTGATCGGGAACGACTTTTTGACTTCGATTGTCTCGACCCAGATCTGTAAGGTGTTGAAATAATAGTTGTTAAGCAAGTAATATAGCATAAGCTACAAACACTTTACCTGTTGTTACATACTGTTGAAATGGTATAATGAAATTAACTTTAGCAAGACAGTCTATTTTTTCTCAATAAGTTGACAACTATTCAATTTTCAATGTTGTTTGTATGAATGAAAACAGAATTGGGTACTTTCTTTAATCAAAAACAAATATTTCGACTGTTCAATCTAATAAAAAATTATTACACTTTCATTAATTGATTTCATGACCAACTTCATTTCAGTATTATTCCAGCAGTTTTTTAAGAAATAAGTATGCTGTTTGACACTGTGAAAATGTGACGTCACAATACACAGTCTCATACAAAGTTCATAGAATTCTGTTTTCTGACTGTTTAAATAAAAGTATTGAATTTGACTAGTTAATATCAATGATATATGTATAGTGTAATTTGACTAGTTGGCATTAGATTGCAATTAAAGTATATCAGTATACAAAAATATTTACCTGGAACGACTCTTCGACTTTTCCTTAGTCTGAGCATCATCAATCATGAGCCCCGGAGAGTTAGACCTGCTGTCATGTGCTTCAGACCTTGCTGGACTCTTGGAAGAAGCACTTCCGGACCTGGACCTAGACTTTCTACTCTTAGGACTTGCACTGGCAGACTTTGATCTAGACCTACTCTTAGCACCAGACTTTGGACTTTGTGACCTTGATTTTGGACTTTGTGAACGGGATTTAGGACTCTGTGATCTGGATTTTGGGGACTGGGATCTGGACTTAGGGCTCTGTGGTCCTGACTTTGGGCTAGCTGAACGGCTTTTAGGGGTACCCGATCGTGACCGTCCACTTGCTGAACCTGACCGAGACCTTCGAGAACCACTTCTGGACCTTGAAGCTCTTTGTTTAGGGCTACCAGAAGCATTGGATCTTGATGATCCAGACTTGTTGCTTTGCGCTGACCCTGAACGAGATCTGTTAGAGCGTGCTGGTGAGTTAGACTTGCTTCTGGATGCATTTGAAGATCTCCTGGAGTTAGCAGAGCGGTTGGATTTCGGAGATTCACTTCCTGATTTTGCTGGGCTGCGAGATACTGATCTGAAATTAAAGTTAGAAATTAACTTATAGTAGAATCCTGATTTACAACTGTTACCATATATTTTGAATTTTTAAAGTTCCATTCCATTTTTATTACCACTATAATAGGCTCCAATTAACTAGGTAGATAATATTTTTTATTTCAATATTTTTCTTGACATGATTATCCTCAATGCTAAGTGATTGAGTGAGATGTATAAACAAAATAGAGACAATTTAAAATTGCAATTCGTAAACATTCAGTCACACACCTACACACATAAAATACCACAATTACCTTGCCTCATTCTTATCAGAATACTGTGTGAGTGATAGACATAATAATGGTAACCAAACAACCATACGGATCTATAGTTGTTTGGTTACCATTATTGTCCTTTCATTGATTAAGTTGACCATGAAATTACACTTAAAATAATATAACGATAAATAGTCACGGCACTTAACAGTCATGAAAGCGACAGGTAATTTCCTGCAACTGTTATTATAACTTTAGGTTTAGAACCTTACCTCGATTGGCTGCCTTCTTTACCAGGCGCAGGGCTGGGACTCTTACTGCGACTCGCACTTGACCCACTATCAGAATCTGAGCCTGAATCTGTGTCTGTAAAAAGCATAATTACGTTAATGTTTACATTGACAGCATCACAAGAATGAAATGGCCATTTATGTTATCACTACAATAATAACGTCCGTCTAAATCAGTAGTTTACATTTACGCCATTAATTTAGTTAAACTAATAGTAAATATTCAGATTAAATACCATGAAAGTTGAAATACCAGTCCGTATCCAACTGAATTTTGGATGACTGTTCGCGTACTTACCATCTAATGAATTCTTCACTATTGGCGCCATTTTATGAGCCAAGTGTTAACACTAATATATTTTACTTAATATGTAATCATTAATTGAGCTATATTTAGCAAAAATGAAAAACAGTAAGTTACACAAACAACAAATAGGTTATGATGCCAACGATAGTAACGTCAAACAATACAGAATGACATTGACAACGACGGCCACAGATGACAAAAACGAATTGTTTACTTTTTTGAAGCAATACGGAATACTAGGTTATTTAGTATAGGTAAGGTAGGTAAGACTCACTTTGAATTAATTAATTTATTTATTTACTTTAAAATGAAAGTTTACAGCAAGAGCCAAATTTTAATGTAATTCATTTGCCGAAGTGAAATATTTTATAACAATTGTATTGTACTACTTGTGATTAGAACAAATGATAATTTAAAGAAAGAAAGAATAATTGTTTATTGGCTCACCGTCACAAAGTACAAAAACAAACAAAAAAAAATTAAAACAGTGAAGACGGCGCAAAAAGGCAAGAGCTCAGCTTAAATGCCGTGACCTTAGATTTTGTTGATATTTTGTTAATACAAATTAGATAAAATAACATTTACAAACAAAAAGTTACAACCAATTCTAGTGTAATGTAACTACAATCTACCATTTTCTTTTTTTTTTCTCTATGTCGACGGGTGTGTTTACAAATAAACAGCAATTTTTGGCCCACACTATGGATTGCACCGAGCAGAAATCGTACTCGCGACATGATGACACGATACTCACTGCCGTCTAGTCGAAGTTATGCGCAAGCACAAGAGACGAAACCTAAACTCGCCCCTAGTTTTTTACTTACAAAACACATAAATTACGGACGAAAAACGGATGTTTTCATTTTCGTGCACCATCTTCACCCCTATTTTCTTATTGTACTTAAGTGTTATCTAGCACTCGTTTCACTTATTTAGTTCAATTCCATGCAACTAGTAAATAGTTCATTACCCAATTCACAGGTGATATTTATTTTATGAACACTCAGATTTCATCCCTCGGCTACGACCCTCGGGGGAGCAATAGACTTGGTCTATTTATATCCGGAATGAGACGGTCATTCACGTCGCTATGTCTGTTTCATTTCACGGTTTTTTTTTCTTATGATTGTAGTTATTTTTTACAATTGTCGACTGACAAAGATTTCAATGATTTCTCACATTGTCAGATAATTTGGGCAGAAGAGGTATTTTTATGTAAATAAATTTTTTCTGAGAATTTTTTACCTTTATCTCGTCGAGTACCGGTTTTGTAGACACAATTATAGAACAATAGGTTGCGGTCACCGGTGACCGCTTGGTGTTTGACAGTTTAACAAGGGCCCCCAAACAAATTTTAACCGGCGGAACCCCGCCAAGATACGCTACGCCATCGCCACTGCGAATAATACTGACCGTGGTTGCATTTTGCAATCCTCTCACTTTGTAGCATTTATAATTTGCATACAATATTAATTTATCTCACGTCGCTTGCACTTGGAAATCCCAACTTATGTTAAAAATGCGAAAGTGAATTTGCTTGTAAGTACTTACCTACCTACCTCTTTTCACTATTTACTCAGCAAATCTTCTTCAAAGCATAGGCCATAGGCATAGCCTTTATTCTTTAAAGCATGGGCCAAGTAGTTGCGAAGCAGTAAAAACTAACATAACATCCCGCCTTTTTATTCCTGAAGGGGTAGGTAGAATTGCACTTTCTGTACAATGTAACACCCACTTTTCAGTGTTTATGTTATAAGTCCCATGGAATAGTGGGTGAGCCTATTGTCATATTATTATACTCGGCACAATAGGGTAGTTTCCAGGGTAAGAAAATTAAAAATCTAATTAGTCCGTCATCATTAGATAATGAAAAAATATCAGACACGATTTTTTTTATTTTCTTATATAAAGTTACAATGCTTTAATAAAATGGAGTTAAGATTAGGAGTGGGAGGTAGTTACACATCACACGACATTTCTAATCATTATATCGTCGAAAGCATTTAATATTGTGAACAAAATAAAAATTACGTGTCTAATGTTTTAAAATAATCTACCAGACGGACATTAAAATAAAATTAAGGAAACTACCCTATTCCAGACTACATGCTACTAGTGAGATTTTTTTTTAATTCTATAAATAGTACTTTGCTGGATCTGGAAAGCCAACCCGAGAACCTTTGCCCGGCAGTCGCACTTGCCACTACTCGGCCAACGAGGCAGCTAGAAAAAATGAGTACCTAAGAAATAAATAAGTACTCATGAGCGGAGTAGTATGACTGTGATTTTTACAACAGTAGTAACATTCTCAGGAATAACTACCTGAGAATTTCGTGAACAGATTCAAAATCTCGTGTTCGGTATTCACTATTGCGACCACACGACTATAAGTAACAAACCTTTTCATAATAACTATCGTGAAACATACCTACTAAATTAAATAAAATCGCGGATTACTCACGTGGTTCGAAACTAGGAGAGCTTTTCTCAGTATATTACTGTATTCACGTGAGTAACCCGCGGTCCATCATTTATTGATTCCGTTTACAATGTGATAATGATAGGTTCTATTCCTTTCTATTATAAGTAGGTACATACCTACAGTTTCAAATAATTCACTAATCGGAAGTCGGAACCTACTCGGAAGTAAATAGACATAATCAAGTGAGGAGGAAACTGTTATACGTACGTACTTATCAGTAATTTCCTTATAACATAATTATTATCTAACTTTATTTACTTGACAAACAGTTTGTTCTCAATGTAATCAAGTTAGGTACATTTCTTAATATCACATATGACAATGATCCAAAATCAAAGTTTGTGTGAGTTTCGATTCTAAACGTCAAGTTTTTCAGTTAGTTAAAATCTTTGGTAACTAAAACAAGTTCAAACTCCCAGTCAATATCTCACAATCCCATCGAACTCACATCACTTCTTATCAAACTACAAGCTTTCTCTTTCTAAAAATAAGAAGTAAGAAAGGGACAAAACATCCCAAAAACAGGCGCCATTTTCAAGGGTAAGGTACCCAAGTGGAGCATGCCTACATGTACGCATCTGTTCGAAGTTTGAATGGGGGAATGAATGAAGTTTTTTCATTGTACTTGTTTAGTTGAACGATGGCTGCGGCGGGGGACGTTTGTGCCGGCTTGCTGCGACACAAACAAATTTTATTACGCGAATTATGCGATACAAATATTTTAGACGTGTTGGTTAAGAAAGGAATACTTAATTTGAATGAGTTCGAAATAATAACGGGTGCAAATGACAGTGATAAGTGTAATTACTTTATTGAGATTGTTAGTAAACAAAGCGGTGTGAAGTTAAATGATTTGTGTGTAGTTCTAAGCAAGGAATGTCCGAAACTATCGAAGGAGCTTATGAACGACAGACATAGGTTCATTGTCAATGGTGAGTGACTATTTTACTGATAAGATTGGAATTTATTGAGCGTAATAATCAATCGTTACTCATGTACTCATGGTAAAGTAACAGCTGCGCTTACGAAGGTTTTTGCATGATTTTGCGAGTAATAATAACAATTAAATCTTTATGCAGTTAGCAAAATAACCACCTAGATGCCTATTTATTTATTAGTCCTTTTCTTCTTAAGTGTAGGCAGTCGTGTAACTCATTTGTATGTGAGGCTGGTAGGTGAAGGTCCTACACACTATTTTTCTTTATTAGCAGAGGTCTGGTAATTTTACTTATGTAGGCAGCTCTAGGAGGTAGTTGGTACTAATTAGGTAATTACAGAGCACAAGGCGGGTACCTGCTCCTTTTCTTACATTAGTTACTTACCACATTCAGTTGAAGTTGTAAGTTGTAGGTACAAGTTTATTTCATTCATGTGTATTCCGCAGTTTTGTGTTTAAAGTAGGTAGCTCATTAGCTATTAAGTCATTATTTTTATGTACAAATAGTCGTATCTTACCTACGTATCATACAAATTAATTACAATAAGTTGGTAGGTAGGTGTCTTTTAACAAGGAAGCAATTTGACTTACCTACTTATTTTGACCTCTAATTATAATATCTATTTGCATAAGTAGGTAGCTACAAATACAACCTACATCATAAAGAGCCTGCTATTACTTAATTCTTATTTTATAATTTTTACTTTAGTTATCTTATGTTTCGGATAAGGGACCAACGTCATAACGTTAATAAACGAGGTCCCTTAAAAAGGTCCTGGTATTTTGAAAATAGTCGAAGTTGTACCGTTAACAGAAACAGAGATAAGAAGGTAACAACTAACAACGGAACGCAAAAAAAGTTAAAAACATCTCTATGATAACGACCTCTTTGTTTAACATTCGGACAAAAATCTCGGCCAGCAACTCGAGTAAGTGCTAAGACTAGTCATTGTCACATAATCACCTAACAGAAAAACTTATCGAGGTTACGCTAAACACCAAATAAAATACCTCCTTACCTGGCCATTATTTAAAACGGTAAAAGTGAGTAAGCGCAAAATATAGGCACCTAGCTACCCAAAGAAATAGCTACTGCGCACGAAACGGCAATTCGAAACAGATTGAAAAATTGCATGATCAACGACCAAAAAGGGGAGAAGAGAATTGTTAGAGACCATTATTTAAACTTTACAAAGATAAATTACACATTTATATCTATCCTTGAATCTTTTCACCGAGACTTTAAGGCTGAAGATCGCTTGAAATATTCGATGGGACAGTATGCGGGTGTGTTCGGAAATTGACCCCGCCTGTGTTATGGGAATCAATCCACTATTGAGCTCCTGGTCATTGATGTAATTCAAATGAAACCACAATTTATTGCATGGTCGTAAAGGTAATTATTGTTGATGTCTATGTCCTCTGACGTGCTTTTGTTGCCCATTATGTAACGAGTTACCTTTGATGATGAGTAGGTACTTACATTACTTATCTACGTACTAACTTCCATTAGGTACAACTTGCTAAGTGGAGTGCAAATAACTACCGTATACCGCGAAATACTGCTCATGAATATGAGCCTCTAGCATGGCTTGAAACTAGTCGAGTTCCTCGTCAAATAATTACATGAGTATACCGAAAACATAATAATTTGTTTAGTATGTCTCACGAAAGTTATATAAAATACAAATATTAATTAGGTAGTCATAATTAAGGATTTTATTGTTC